AGTCAATTTATAAACTCTAAGAATTTTAGATTTGGTAATCCCAAGAGACTTAAAAAAAAAATTTTTTTTTTTTAATGTTTACTTATTATTGAGAGACAGAGAGACACAGAGTGTGAGCAGGGGAGGAGTAGAGAGAGGGGGAGACACAGAATCCGAAGCAGGCTCCAGGCTCTGAGCTGTCAGCACAGAGCACGATGCGGGGCTTGACCTCACAAACTGCGAAATCATGACCTGAGCTGAAGTCGGTCGTGAAGAGACTCTTTATAAAGTAACATGACTATGGGTTAAAAGGTTCTAGTTATATTTCCTACTCAAACCCTCTATCAAAGCTGAGATCACACCGCAGCTATGAGATGATAATGTCAGTGGCTGCTTAAAAGCATTTCACAGGTGCCTTTTATTGAAACGGTTGGTTAAATGAATCCAATTACCACCTTCCCCAAATTATTCTAACTCCCTAAAATCTATGAAATACTTTTCTTCTTCTTTTATTTAAAGATTTTATTTTTAATTAATCTCTACACCCAACTTGGGGCTCACACTCACAACTCTAAGATCAAGAGTCACATGCTCTACTGACTGAGCCAGCCAGGTGCCCCGAAATACTTATTTTCTTAATGTAATGAATATTAACATATTGAAGGGTTTTCATTTGAATAATTCATAAACAGGAGTATTTGTCTCCCCTGTAAAACAACTATTTCACAAGGAACAGGATGTTTACTATAAGAGAAATAATTATATTTATTTTGCATCAGAAAATAAATCACCCTTTATTTTTATTAATAACAAATTATTTTTTGTTATAGTAAAGAACAATCCTAAAGTCAGTCCAATTGTATAGAAACATAAATAGGAAAAAAGAAAAAAAAAGAACCGCATAATATTTCAGTGACTCTTACTAGAAAAAATCTGTTACTTACGGCAGTGGCTCGAGAGAGTTCTCTACACGTACTAAGCAGTCCATTTTGTAAATCGTCCCTCTGTAACACCACGGTCTGAATGGCTGCTGGGTTATCTGCATTCATTTCTATCTCTTGGCTGGCTGATAGCAAAGCTTGCTCAAGCGTGTACTATTATAATAAAAATAATTACACTTAATGTTCTGCATCATCGAATTAACTCTTTTTACTTTAGTTATCAGTGTCCTGATAATGAGCATATAAAGTAACATCAATTGCAGATAATAAACGTAATTGTCCTACTTTCTCCTTGTGGAGTTGCTGAAGTTTCTCTTCCAGAGCATGTACCACTTTATCTTGTTCACATAACCGGCTTAGCTTGGCCTAGGTTATAAGAGAAAATCTGTTGTTAGCAAATTTTCCTTTTTCCTGTAGTTGGAGGTAAGTGTAATAAGAAAACACATTTAAAATAGCCATAGAATACCTAATTAGGCCAATCTTTATTTCGATCAGTAAAATAAAAATTAAAATAGCTTTTAAAGACACAGTGCTTAACAAACATGCATATAAAGTGAAAAAGCATTTCAACCATACTATTTAACCTCACAATTCAAAATATTCGTAGTGAACAAGCAGTCTCATATAACTTTAATGGATTTCAATGTAGTTTTTTCCCTACAAACTGCTAGATAGGTTAAGCGACATATGCAGTCCTTAATTAAAATATCGACTGGATTCTGTTTTTATATTTTAAAAATTATGCTCTTATGTTCAGAAAAGAATATAAACAAAAGATTGCTTTTAACTGCAATAATACAAATAAAACCTTGCTAAATGGAGAAAAAAATCACTTTCAATAGTTTAAATGTTTTGAATTCTTGGTATTACCCCAATTTTTAAATTATGAAAATATCATATAATGACAAGCGAGAAATCAGAGATTTCACTTTCTTTGCCATGTACCTGTTAAAGTAACTACCTTATGTTTATTAGACACCAAAACTCAAGCTATACCAAATGGCATATACTGAAATGAGAAGGTATAACTCTACGGAATAAAACCAGGGGAAATGAGGGAAGAATGAGATAAAGAAGAATGGGGCACCTGGGTGGCTCCGTTGGGTTAAGCGTCTGACTTCAGCTCAGGTCATGATCTCACGGTTTGTGAGTTCGAGCCCCACACTGAGTTCTGTGCTGACAGCTTGGAGCCTGGACCTTGCTTCAGATTCTGTGATTCCTTCTCTCTGCCCCTCCCCCACTTGCACTCTGTCTCTGTCTCTCTCAAAAATAAATAAAAACTCAAAAAAATTTTTTCTTAAATAAAGAAGAATGCATGGCAAGTTAGTCAATCTAACTAATTAATTGTATTGATTGTATTTTAGATACAATTAAAAGACTAAATTTTAAAAAGGAAGGAGTTACAAAATTTCTAGAGACTGATACTTTCCCTAGAAGACAGAAAACTTTACTTTGTTTCCAGTTCTCCATACTTTTTTTTAAATCAGAAATAGTCCTTTTTACTTAAAAAAAATTGTTTTTATTTTAGAGAGAGCGTGTGCACATGTGCAGGAGCAGGGGAGGGACAGAGGGAGGGAGAGAGAATCCCAAGGAGGCTCCACACTCAATGCAGAGCCTGACCCAGGCCTGATTCCATGACCCCAGGACCATACCTGAGCCCAAATCAAGAGGTGCTCAACCAACTGAGCCAACCAGGTGCCCCTAGTCTTTTACTTTCATTTAAGTGATTTTTTCCTAGATTCAACTGTTAATTATGGGGAGGGGGGATAGTTACAGAATAGGGGAGTGATGCTATAACTTAACCTAAGCATAAAATAAAAGAAAATGTTAATTTATTTGGTGTCATTTTGGAGGGCAAGAGAGGAAGAGGAAGTTTTTTGTCATGCATACTTCCAATGTTTTGGCAGAGAATATAACAGAGTACTGACAATATATATGTAGCATACTAACACTTACATCAGTATCCACTTCTTCAGGTCTGTATTTGTATAATGTGCCTCTACATTCATCTTGTGACAGCTATAGGGAAAAATGTCAGGTAGCAAGTTTAAAAATAGTATTTAAAAAATATATTTAGCCTATAGTTAACATTTTAGATTTATATAATAAGAAAATGGGATTTTAATGATTCTTATACTTTAAGAAGTTTAATTCAAACACAGATCATTACAAAAGTAGAAAAATATTTAACAGTGATGCAATATGCAAGATACATGAAAATGATGTTAACTTAAGCTTGTCAAACAAAATAATAAGTTGGTCAAACAAATTATACGGCACCTTACATCTTCCATTTGTAAGACACACGTCATTTTAATGGAAAATTGACAAATACAATCATGGCAACTGTACTGAATCAAATATTCGAACCAGGCATATTTCAGCAGCCAGAACCATCCTTCACGGTATACACATAATCACACAACTGTGTATGCGTATACTCAAATGCCAACACATCTTAGTACAACTTTAGTAACAAAACCTGTAACATACTGCATACATATACATAATATATAAACACACATACACAATATAGACTTATCTTGTTCTTCTGTCTTAAGAACTAAAAGATAATGGGGGAAAAGGACGGGTTTAATTGAAAAGAGGAAACTCATTCAAAACCTCATAGAACTGAAAGCCTATGTTATAAACTATGAATAGTCAAATTGCATAAAAAGTTTGTATGTGTTGATTGACACCATTTGTTTTATTACACTATAAGAAATGCTTGCTCAGTGCATTTAAACGTCCTTTCTTCAAACTCTTTCCCAGTATCTTTCAGTCAAAGGAATCTTCATTTTTGCTTGTGTTTATCAAGATTTCAAAAGTCATCCCGGTCAGTTATACCACAGCCTCTGCAAGCAATATTTCACTTTCTCCCTGGTCTTCTGACTTTATATCGACTGCTAGACAGTAACAAAAACATAGTTGGAAAAACTTACTTTGGGTTCACTGCATATTTACTAACTGGCACACTTTTTCTCAAAGTGGGGATGGGAGTAATGTTTTCCCACTACATTCCAGATTGGAAAATTAAACTTCATCTAATGCATCATAATGCATCTAATTCATCACAAATGCATAAAAATGTATAAGTTTTAACTATCTACGTCCACTTGGCAAAAAACTGCTTGCCAGTTACATCTTTAGAAGGAAGCATAATTTAAAAGCAGATAACTTTGAATGGATCTAGAAATGTAGGTTATCAGGAGGTTAAAAATGTAAGCATTACAAACATACAATAATAAATCCTGGATTTGTGTGTTTCATTTCAAGACATAACTTTCACATCCTCATGCAAATGAATCTGTGACTATTTAAGGGTATGCAGTGATTATTAAACAAAACTTTCATAGAAATGAGTTATCACATGAAAAATGAATTTAATGAGAAAAGTCAGAATACTTGTGCAGTATTTTCAAATAAAGAGCATTAAATATGTTGTAAGAAGTATCAATTTTTATTCTAAATTAAAGCACCTAGATCCAAGAAAATAATTTGTACTTTTATCTGAAAAAAAAAAAAAAACAGAATACTCTGTGCAGTATTTTCAAATAAAGAGCATTAAATATGTTGTAAGAAGTTAAGTATCAATTTTTATTCCCAAATACCAGTGCTGTCTAGATCCAAAAAACAATTTGTACTTTATTC